TCATCAGTAAAAAAAAAATTGTTTTACTAAAAAAAAAGATTTGTTTACTATGTAGTGATTTAATCTACTTTTTGCATTGTACTATACTAAAATAAATTGGTCAGCACTAATGATTATCTCTGCAGATCATTAATAGATTTCTACACATGTTTGGCGAGACACAAATTAAAAACTTGTTTCTATATATATATATGAGTTTGATGATTGTCATTTGATTTTTTGATAATAATAATAGTGACAAAAGCAAGCAAAAATTAATTTTAGGACTAGATTTCCTGAGCTTCATACTTTCTTTTATTTAACAGATTATTGAAGTTAGATAGATTGTTTTTCAAATATAAATCAATTCAAAATTTCTCAAGTCAATCAATATTCCTTTAGCAAGATTACCTCCCTATTTCCTTTCAGTTAAAATGAGGAGTTATTTAAACTTAGAATCACCAGAATCATGGTCACTTGATTCTTTTGGTAAATGGTGTTTAGATAAAGAAAATTTTAATGGTGAAAAATCGAAAATAATTGGTTACATGAGAAAGGAACTTGAGGTTACATCTGATAATTTATTTCTTGATCAAGATGTGTGTGCTAAGGCGGCTTTACTTCTTGATGATTTAAAGTTAAGTTATACCTTTTTTTTTTAATTTTTCCTGAAGGTTCATTGCTCAACTGGGATAGGATTATATTCGACATGAGTTGATATAATCACGTATAACATTATATATGTTGATTGTATACAGCATTAGATATGTTGGTATAATTCCGAAGATGCAGTATAAGGATGTTGTTTTATCATACATATCCTTTGCCCACTGCAGCACATTTAGGGGACTATTTGTCAGCTCAGTGTTGAACTATACGTTCGCTGTGGCCCTATGTGCTCTTTTTTGCACATACTGTTGAACATTGAAGAGGCAAAACCTCCTATGGCACATTTAGGGGACTATTCGTCAGCTCAGTGTTGAACTATTCATTCGCCATAGCCTATATCAATATATAACTGTTGAAGTTTTTTTTTGTTGAAAAATTCTCTAATATTTTATTTCTTTTCCTAGGAATGGAAAAAAACCAAAACAAAACAAGGTTTTTTCTTAGTACCAAAAGTAGAGGCAAACAAAAGAAAATTGGAGCAGATTGAAAGTATAAAATCATTACAAATGGCAAAAAAGGTAAATGAAACTTTTAATGTCACTTTATAATAGAATTATGGTTATCACTATATATGTAATTTACTAATAACTTTATTTTGCAGTCTCTTCAGGAGAAAAAGGCTGAGGTCCGGATCCACAAGTGTCATACTGAATTGGCAGTAAAAATTTATAAACAGCAGTCAACCACAGCAATATTCCTAGGACAATCAATATCTGATAAATTCATGTAAGTGTTTAATGCAGTTTCTTCTGTCTTGCCTTCACTTTTTGTATCTGTAATTTGTAAAATTAAAAATTTTTTATATTTGCATTTCGTAGTCATGGTCAAGTTGAAAATATTAATGTATCAACTAAACATTCATCCAAATCAACACAGCCTATTGTGATAGAAAATGAAAATTTGAATGTTGATGGCATATAATTATGCTCAATTTTGTAGAATAATTTATTTTTCGAAGGATAGTTATTTTAATATGTTGACAACTTTCGGATTAAATGTTTTGAAAAATAGAGTAATCTATTTTATCTTAGATAATTCACCAATTATCAAAGAATTTTACACCTATGACATGGACTGGGATTGGGTTGATAATTATGATAAATTTGGTAGTTGCTTTCAGAATCTCTCCAAATTAGATTATATATTCACTTCTGATAGTATTAAATTTGTTGATAAATTAGCAAATGTTTGCAAATCTATTCAATCATTGAGAATATATTATAATCAATACAACTATAAATTTCAAAATAGTCTGACTGTAACAATTTACTCCGAAGTCATGTGTAACATCTGGGTGGTACATAAATATTTACATTAGAAACGTGACACATTTATTATTATTATTTGTATCAATTATTTCGTGTCTTTAATTATATTTATTATTATTATCTATGTCCACAAAATCTTCCGGATAGATTGATAAGAATCTTATGATTATTATTATTTATATTTTATTTATATTTTATCAATCTTATATTATTATTTATATTTTATCAATCTATGTAATTTTATATATAAAGGACATCATATTAAGATAATAAAGATTAACTTGTATTTTTACAATAATTAAAGTACCTGTTCGATGAACGTGTTATAATATTGTTTTTATTTTCGTTAAGAAAAGTAATTCTTACACTGACTAAATTAATTAAAACACAAAATCAAATAAAGCAATTAACCATTGATTCAAACACTGATCAAGTTTTATCTGATAATTTCAAAAAAGCAATACTCTCACACTCACATTCAATAATTTATTATTCAAGCAGTGGAGTACATGATATAAATAATATATTATTACCAACTCTATATAATTTAAAAACTTTATCATTAAAAGCACTTGGTACTGGTATCAATGTAAAATATTTGAAAAATAATTCGCTGCCACATATTGAATCTATGAAGTTATGTAATCATAATCAATCATTTCTATCAGAACTATCGGATTTTATTGACATCAATGGAAAAACTCTTAAATATCTGGATTTTTGTGTTACTACATACAATAATGAACTTTTGGGAAAGCTATTTCAATCCATTGCACAACATTGTAAAAATCTTGTAGACTTATCAATAGTTTATAAGGATGAAATAGATCAGGAATTAATGGAGATGTTCAACAATTGTGCTAAGTTAGAAAGTATTGAATTTAAACTAATTTTTGCAGCATACATAGATGGTGATAGAATTTTTGCAGCTTTGGATCAGACATTACCAAAAAAATTAAAATCAATAATTTTTAATACTGCTGTTTTTAATATTAGCAACAATTCCTTTGATAATCTAATGAAGAACTGGAGAGGGCCCAAACCTTTTACAATAAAATTTGGAGAATTACTAGAAGAATATAGTGATCTTGAACAATTTATAAGAAAATATCAAGATTTAGGATTTTTAAAGTAGATTACATTTATTTTATGCTAATTATTAATATATTATTATTATTATTATTTGATTTTAATTGGGAAATAAATAAATAGTTTTTCACTTTAAATGATAACTTTATGGGTGTGAAATTGGGGTGTTCAATATAACAAATTATTATGTGCGGATTTTCCAGTATCTTTATCATATATTTCAACACATCGTAAATGTTGACAACAAAATTCAACTAACAATATATTTTTTTTGAAAACATGAATTATAAAAAGAAATTTCTATTAATTTATCAGTTACAATGTAAATTTTTATGGTAGAATTTAATAATAGGGATGTTAATCAGTCCTTTGGGACTGGGTCCCAAAAAGTCCGGGACTGAACTGTTTCAGGTTCGGTCCTACCATTTGGGACTTAAAGTCCCTATAAGTCCGCGTGTAACATAAATATTTAAAAAAAATTTCACATGATATATACATTTTTTCAAAATGTCATCATCAATTGAAAATAGC